TTTACCTCATCTTACTAGCTCTGTGACTTGGGCAAGTTGCATAGGTTTGTTATGAAAATTAAATGAAAAAAAGTGTAGATAAGAAGGCAGCAGTTCATAGTAAGTAGTTGATACAGGTGAAATGTTGTGATGAGTCTTTGTGTTTTAGCTTCAACTTTCTTTCTCCTAGTGTTTCAGTTAATGAAAATGATGGCATGTAAATACAGTTCATGCGAGGTCAGTTGATTAGTAAAGGGTACTAGTAGACATGGTGATGCAATCCCTATTTGTAATGCCTTTGCTATCACACACTTGAGATACGTGTGAGGCAAGTCATTAGAAACCCTTTGTTCAAAGACATTTAATCAACCTCATTTCATGATGGCATTTCTTTATCTTGATCTTGTAAATGCTCAGGAATTGTGGCTGCTTTGGAATTTATGACAGACAGCTAATGGAATCTTTAGGACATATGTGAACAAAAGTGAAAATAGGGGTGGGGGGTGGATTAAGGCTTCTGCTGTACATTACTCATTCACTGCTCAAATGACACCAACAAGCCATTTAGACTCCAAGCCGACATGGGTATCTTTGGATTGCAGATGGTGAAAGCCTTGATAGGAGGGACTATTGATTGTTTCTCTGGCTTTAAGCCTCTTTGTGCCCAAGTCTCTTAGATTTAGATGAGTGGATATTTGCTGAGATGAGATAGTAAGTAAATTCTTGAGTTCCTTGAGAAAGACTGAGATAGGGTCATTTCTTCTCTGGAAATAGTTCAGATGTTGTACTTTAGTTGGGGCTCATGGATTTGAGTCTACAGTATAAAAAGGGGCAAAGACCTAGCCTGAGGATTAGCTGGGTTATTTAGAAAATATACAGAACAGAGAAGACTCCAGTGACTGCCACAACTAAAAACACTTCCTTTTGCTCTTGCCTGTTCTATCCTTTTCGGAAGTCCAGTACTGGCCTTTCAGTTACAGTAGCTCAGGCATGGCACATCCAAGAGCCAGTGGAGAACTTCTGACTGTATTAGTCAGCCTTGCTTACCTCAGTGACCCTTCAATTTACGCTTATCCATATGGTCATCTCCATGACCTTATCGGAAAAGCACTGGGTTGGGAACAAGGTAGAACTGAGTAGAATCCAGGCTCAGACTAATTGCATGATTTTGGACAAATTAATTAATTTCCATATTCTAACTACCTAACATTTAAAAACAATGACAATGCCTATCCTAATCTAGTTAATCTGAAGAGTAGTCTTCCTCTACTTACTATCCAATATTCAGGAAATGGAAAGAAAAAGCTGGATATACCCTTAGGGGCTTCCAGTGTGTTTTAGGCCCTGAGGCAGAAGCTACAAAAAAAGGACAGATCAGACCTGTGTGTCTGTCCCTAAGGCAGCCTTCGGTAATGTGGGGAAATATGGCCAATGCATAATTTAAAAAAAATTTTTTTTTTTT